TCTGAAGCCAATCAAGCGATTCGAATTTCTAAGGCCAAGAAAGTAATTCGAATTGATCATATTCCGAATCTGACTGAATAAAAAGAAAACATGCATGAATACAAATAATCTATTTAAGAAGCAGAGGATGTTGACTTTTGTTAACGTAATTTTATGCAAAACGTACACCACGCTTAGTGATTATTCAAGTTGCAAAACAGACTACAACGTCGCATGACCTATCATTTGGAGCTACTTCGGCTATTTCTGCTAGAATTAAATATGCCTCGTACATACGTCATCGCAATAATTTATACAAAATGTATTTTTTAATCAGACATTTCTCTGCACAAAAAGAAAGTTGACGGGACGTCTGCTATTTATACGATTGAATTGACAGTATGATTGACCGAGAGGATACGAATAAAAAAAGCTAATCATTCGTAACTTCTCTTCATTGATTCTTGTTTTGTAAATAGCAGAAGTGATTGTATACGAGATTATTTTACTTACAAAATTCTGAATATCAGTGCGCTGCACAACCAAGTTCTTTCTTAGCTAACAGTACCATACAATTATAAAATGTAATTTTGTGTTTCATACTCGGGAAATTTTTTTTCCAACTACATAGCGGTTTTCAAATCGTCTGCCCCTCAGAAAATCTTTGATGAAGGAATTCTACCAAAAATCACTAACAGCTATATCAGAGCTGTATAAAGAAAGCGGAAATGTTTGAATGATGTACTTGGTCAAGAAGTCTATGCGCCTGCGTATTGCCAAGGAGTAGATGGATGCCTTGGTTAACGTTGCGCAGACGATGGATACAGAAGCGTTCCACAACTTTTGGAAACACTTTGAAGTGATAATAATATCCAGTATTTCTTGTAGAGTCAGGCACGGGTACTTGAATGAGCGAGTCGTTTTGATCGGAAAATAATTCGTGTCAAACTCTCTTGATAGACCGACTATGTCTAGCAATTTGTGGTATCTGTTGTTTTTTTTTTAAAATCCAGACTTTATTATTTTTCCTTCGCTCTGGGTAAATAAAAAAACGAAATCCATATTTCATCACGCACAACAATCTCATTTGAACGTCTCTGATCGCTCTTTTCAGATCTGACGAGCAGCTTTCAATCGATTTCAACCCTAGTATGTTTGTGATCAGCCGTCAACAAACCGGGGGCCCATCTTGACAAACCTAGTGAGCTTCATGTAATTCTTCAGAACTTTAAAAACAGCTGAAGAATTAATGCCCACAATAACATAAACATCTTTCAATGTATCAAAAGCAACTGCTCTATTTCGAGCAACCACTTCCGGGTCACTAATCGCAGACGAAGATCTTCAAAAATGATAAAATCATGTCAAAATTGAAGGATGTGACAAAGAATTACATTGGTAAACTTTAGCTAAGTCGGCCTTGAAAACAGTGAGAGAGCACCTAAGTCAGTCTACCTTGATATCAGTCAGAGAATACATATGTCAGTCGACATTGATATCAGTCAGAGAGTACCAATGTCAGTCGACCTTGATACCACTCAGAGAGTACCTATGTCAGTCGACCTTGATATCAGTCAGAGAGTACCTATGTCAGTCGATTTGATATCAGTCAGAGAGTACCAATGTCAGTCGACCTTGATATCAGTCAGAGAGTACCAATGTCAGTCGACCTTGATATCAGTCAGATAATACCTATATCAGTTGACCTTGATATCAGTCAGAGAGTACCTATGTCAGTCGACCTTGATATCAGTCAGATAATGCCTATGACAGTCGATCTTGATATCAGTCAGAGAGTACATATGACAGTCAACCTTGATATCAGTCAGATAATAAATAAGAGGAGATCGATTTTACAATAATCCTTTGCTCAGTGTTAGAATTGTTTTCCTTCTCAGATATTTTTACGTCATTGTCATTTACTTATGTCACGTCACACATATATCTGTTGTGTCGGGCGAGTTGCATGTACAGCTGAAGATCGTTTATATAATGCTATGTTGTCCATTAATTGGCATTTAAATATACTGACAGTCTTAAAAGAGCAAACACGTAACAAGAAAATATTCTGAACTTGTCATATACCATTCCTAGTATGGTAAATGCCTTATCATTAAGAAATAAATGGTGGTTGTATAACCTTGCATTTGTTTTATCTCTGAAGCACAAGCATGGAATAAGTGAAGCCCTGAAAGTCAGTCAGTCATCGTATGCTTGCATCTAATTTTCGATTTTCAGAGACATGTATACTTCATACTGTTTAATCACGACGAAATGATGCTTTGGCGCAGATAACCAATTTTCAATGACAGAAGACTATGGCGAAAACATATGATATGCAAGGGTATGCATCGATGTCTCTAGTTTGTTCATGCATAGATACCTTTTCTTGTACTGGTATCAGTCAGACGGGATTTCTTCCGTTTTGAGTTTTAATTTTATAGTAACTCATGCCTGATGATCTCACAGTTATACTGATTACAACGTGACGTCTACGCCGATGATTTCGCCTGATTCACTCAGATTTACATTTTCTGGACTAAATTCAAAACCAATTTCCATTTTGGCCGTGACAAAGTACATCAATTACTGAAATTCCTATCAGTTTTGTGCAGTTGTAATTTCGACACCGTATAACGAATTTGTCGCAACGGCGATCAAACGATGCTCGAATTAAGAAGTGAACAAAATATGTGTTCAAATTCACGTATCTATTATTAATACTACTTTTTTAAACTTTCTTTTTTAAAGATGAAAACAAAAAACAACAACAACTAAAAAAACAAGAATTTTTTTTCTGACTGAATAGGCTAAAACGAAACAAGGTATCGTTGTTGAAGTTATCTCAAAGTAAAGTGCGATGCGCCATGTAAAGTTCTTGCATACGGGATCACTGATCCCGTATGCAACACACACAACAAAAGTTAAGAAATTGAATGTGACTAAACCATCGCAAATGTTAATAAGCACAAATCAATCAATCAACGATTTAGCTCTGTTCATTTGTGCTGTTAGGTAATATAGAAGTTATCATGATCAATAGATTCCTGAACGTAATAACGATTATCGATAACTAATTCATGCCTTCAAAGTTTAGCTCGAATTAAAAGGGGTCGATATCATAAATTATTGAAACCAGAACATTTTGTCGCTTTTTCTAATTTGATTACTATATGTAAAGTACGTGTTAGTGGTCATGGTGTCTTTACTTGAGGTTCAAACACAAATCAACTAAATTAAACTGTATGAACTTAGCGAATAATTGAAAAATACATCGATAATTAGGTTGAACAATGTAAAAATTGTTACTGGAATATCAACTAGACATGTTTTCCGCTAATAAACTGAGACATGGGAATGACGTCTATTTATAAAAAAAAAACAGCTTAGATTTTAATAAAGGCAGACGTTTTCCTGTTTTAAATGTACTTATTATTGCACTTAATAATAACGAAACAATGTTGACTTTTGCTTTCATTTGACACTGGTAATTTTCAACCTCAGAAAAAAATGATACAAAGGTTAAATATCCTGTTATGTGATTAAAACAATTATTAGAAAATCGACGTCGCCACCGTGATCTTATCGATTGTATCGCCACAGTGGCGACATCAATGTTGTAACATGTTTGTTTCCTTTAGGATATATATCTGACATTATGTGTGATATTGAAGCTTTTAAATATAAGATTAAGGTCTATTTCGTATTTTTCTTTTTCTTATCTGCTCTTCCCCTCTTTCTCTCCCTCAGGATGAAAATATATAAAATATGCCAAAATTGTATGTTTATATAAGCAATGAGTAGTGCCATCAAAGATACCTTAAAATGAATTCCATACAGAATAAGTATCAACTGTTTAAGGTATTTTTTTTCACATGAATCGTTAACATTGCCATTAACCCGATTCCATTTGATACTCAGTGTTACTTATACAGTACCTGTTATACTCCATAACAAAATGTATTAGCTTTTAGGGTCCTAAAGCTTTGATTAAATATTATACAAAAATCCTTTAATTAGCAACCCATCGTCTTGTTTTAAAACGATGGAGAAAATGTGTGAATGTTCATTCAAAATCGAAATTAAGCTGAGTGACAATCGCACAATCGCAATTTCGATGCATCGTCAGTTACGGATCTATAGTGTAAGCGTGCCAAGGTCACATAATTCATATACGAATACAACCCTCCCCCTACTCATCGAATCATTAAAGATTTTTTTTTTGTCTAACGAAGTTATTCTCTAAAGTCTGTCGGGTCGGTCTGGTCCACCCTCCACCGCCACCACCACCACCACCACCACCACCACCACCACCACAATATTCAAGGTATCAATGCGCACAAAAATGCATTAGATCAAATAAATTTTGTTTGATTTTCGTATGAAATCAAGGACACAAAACAATAGACATAAGTCTTTTATCTTGCTTCAAACTGATACGATTATGTACTTGTTCATGGCGAATACTGAAATGTGAAATGTGTTTCGAAATTATCCACGAAAATGAAAATCTTGGTGACCTAGCCAAATTAACGTCATTAATGTCACACTGTAATCACTTTTATAATAAAAGCCAGAGGTATGCATTATTATGGAAATTAAATGTCGAAAAATGAATCTTTTAAAAGTTTCGTATGACTATGGCCAATAGCAGGATTGTTATCTATGCATGAATAAAATAGGAAAATCGATACATACCTTACCCGTGGATTCCGTTTTTGCCATTAATTTCGTCGTCGCTGCGTTGCAAAACTGCTATCTTTGCCGGTACGTTTTGCCTGATCAGTGTAAAATGTAGGTCAATATACGAGTATAGATACAGTTGACTTCAGAAAGGGATATAGGTGGATGTTGTGAAATCATTTCAGAGGCGATAAATAGCATTTACAAAATAGAGTTTAAAGTGGAACAACTGACTATTAGTTCCTAAATATTATGAAAGAAACAATTAATAATTTCCTTTTCACTATCGATAGCTGCAAAATATTTTCGTTTCAATCTATTCAATTAATTTTCATTAGGACCGTTCCGGTGGTTTAAGTGGTTGGAGTGTCCACCTTGGATGCGGGAGGTAGCTGGTTCGAACCCAGGTTGAGTCATACCAAAAACTTATAAAAATGATACTAACAGCTGCATCGATAGGCGCTGAGCATTGAGGTTAGTGTTAGGACTGGTCGGCCTGGTGTCAGGATACTTTGTCTAGGTCGGACATCATGCTATATGCTTGCCACATGATGCCCCAGTGCAAGACCTTATGATACACTATCAAACTGCAGACATCGTAGCCGTGTGATTGATATATTGTTAAACTACGTTACAAAATCAAATCACAATCATGCTAACACTCAATTTTCATTATTTATATTTTGTTTACATTTGTGCATGATTATTTATAGAATGAAAGAAAATAGAAATAAATACTCTAGATAGACTTACCTTTCCAGTGTACGCCTATCCTTTGCAAGGATAGCAGTATGCGATTTGACGTCGTAACATGGAGTTTGTTATGTCTTAACTGAAGAGTGAAGAGTGCGACGGTGGCAGTGCATGAGGAATTGTGCATGTTAACACATTTTTACGAAGAATTTTAATTAGTTCAAATTAATGTATAGACATATATACAATAAATTAACTCTAGCCGGACCAAAACAAACACAACAAAGGGCTCAAGTGTGTATAATAATTATACTTTTCTCCCAACAAACAGGTGTCCGCTAAGCTTGATGTACATTGAAGTGACAGATACTAGAAGCGCTTTTCTTAAGGGCGATAATGCAAAGTGCGCTTACGTAGCGGCGATGTTAGAGTGTAGAAGATTGTTACACAATGTTTGTGAATATTTTTTAAAATGCAAATCCAGAAGACACCACCACACCTACCCGACCAATCTTAAAAAATTCTGGTCTCGGGCAGCCACGCGTGAAAAGGGAACGTAGTGTCTTGTCGCCTGTGGCTTGCTACGATGCGAGCGAGGATTGCAGCTCTTTAATCTTTTGACAAGTTCGAATTAGATTCCGACGCTTCTTATAATTTTGAACTCGGTCATCGAGTCGGTATACGACAAAATTTCAGTCAATCAAGTTCCAGTCAGTTGGGAAAGCTACTGTGGCCTAAGTTGTTTAAGCGTCCGCATCGAATGCGAGGAGTCACGGGTTCAAACCCCAAACTTACTCATATCAAAGATTTATAAATGGTACTCACAGCTGTCCCGCTTGGCGCTCAGCATTAAGAAGTTAATATTAGGATTGGTCGGCCTGGTGTTTTGATAACTTGTGACTTGATGGGACATGGTCCTATATGTATACACATGACGCCCTAGTTCTAGACATCACTATAAACTGCCACACTGCAGACATGACTTAAAAATCGTTAAATGTGTGTTAAAAATCCAAATAACAAACACAAACACACACACACACCCACACAACAAATGATGGCGTAAACTCATGAAGCGATACGGACCTTGTTTTGATATATTAGATCGAGATCGACCAACGACAGTTCATCGAGATCAAGACACCTGTACCACCTCTGAACCAGTTTTCTTTGCAAATCAGTGTATCAGTCCGGTCAGACAGTAATTATGAATAATGTGTTGTGCATATTTAATTTATATATATATATATATATATATATATATATATATATATATATATATATATATATATATATATATATATATATATATATATATATATATATATATATATATTTTATATATATATATATATATATTATATATATATATATATATATATATATATATATATATATATATATATATATATATATATATATATAGATATATATATATATATATATATATATATATATATTAACTAAGATTTTATTTTGCTCTCAGATTTAGTCTTCCAGAAAGTTATTTTCCATTAGGAATTATTTGTTTTATAAAAAGTTAATTGTTACATGAGGTCGGGCAAATGACGATAATCTTGTTACTTGAAAAATTATACATTCGTGCTGAACATCCGAGTAGAATCAAATTATTGGTATGTAGAGTATTTGAGTTGGAATTATTCAAACAATTTCTTCTCGGGAAATACAAAAGTGTTCTGATAAGACTTTTGGAAACATAGCCTTAAATTTATACTGAAATTTCAAATAACAATCTCTTCTTGGATTGTATTATTATGATCTAACAAAAGACTGTTGGCATATAAACACTTTACGAGATATCACAGGCACATCAACACTTTCAGCGTTGGATTTAATTTGGTTTTCCACTAAAGCTTATTCAAAACTTTTATTATTAGTTCTTGTGTCTGTAATTTTGAAATTGGTCTGGGATTTAAATCGCAATGCTGTAAATTTCTCTTTTGATTTTTACTTTGTATTATATGGAAATAAGTTATTTGTTTAATTTGTCAAAGCTTGATTCTTTTCAAACATTTCTTTTTCTTTTTTTAAGATCATAGACTTGTAACAAATGATACCAATCCAGAAACCATTGCACTCTAACAAAGTTCTACATATCCTATTGGTGTTAGCGTGGTATCTGGAGCGGAGTCAAGCTTAGTTTACAATCGATTTGCCCGTCGTATGGGTTAACCCAATGACCGCAACCGAAAATACTATTCTACGAGTAAACCTTAGGCGAGAACTTTTAAAAGTCACCTATCACAGGGCCTCACCAATTACAAGTACGTATGCGCAGTTTGCAGAAGGTATCGCACAGTAGCTATCTAGCCCAAAGATAAACCCCATGACCCAGTCACTGTAAACAACACAAACACTTCGCAGGACAACGGGGAATATCTATTTAACGTGATAAATCGCCTGTAACGGTGACGAATGCAATCATTGTATACTCAATTTATACCGCATACATTTTTTTCCCCAAGAAAATTAAAGGTGGGTACTTTCGCATTTGTACCTTTAACCCAGACTTGTATCTCCTGACTTCACTGACCTTGTACACTAAACTATTTTCTACGTGAATAAAACAAAACTAGAAAATCGTGGTATAGTGAATAAACCAGATTTGTTTTGAACTATTTTCTTCTTCGTAATGCAAATATCAGAAATGCATCCCTAAAAGTGGATGAAAAGTAATTGTTGTCTCAAAGGCATCTTTGTCGTACAAGTTAGCAGTTGATATATAATTAAGAAACTATGCAGATAAATAAAACTGTTTGAGATGAAAATAACAAATAGGTGCATTTTATATTATTATTCATTTGTTAATAATTTATACAAAAGGATTATCACTGCTGCTAAAATTTATAATTTCGCAAGGTACAGTCTTAATGCAAGTAATATCTTAGTTGCAATTTGTATAATAATAATCCTTTATCCTATATGCTTGATACCTTGAAGAGAAAAACTATATAGATACCAGTAATATTTCATTTTGTAAGCAGCATAATACACACCTAGTATTTCTCTAAGAGTGTAGGCTACATATTTAGATCATTGTCAATTTAGGTAAATATGGTTACTTGGGTCTGGGAAGAAGACATCAGATTTCTACTTGCAGATTCCTAAACTTTTTGACAACTTTGAATGCTCTAGGGAGGAGACTGACCTAAATCCGGACTCTATTATTGTGTCTTATTTTTAGTATAATATTGTTTACTTAAGACATTATTCGTTCTGGCATTAACATCTTAAAACAGAATCAGTCTTATTGCTCTTTTAGGTTTTAATTTTCGTGGATTTATTTATTAAAATTTATATTCACTAAAAATATAAGGTGCTCATCAACGATATTCTTAGTCTGGAACATTAATTTGGAATTATAGTGAATTCAGAAAAGAACAATTATGGATTATATTAATGTGATTAAATGACTCTTAGCACATAGCCACAGTCCAAACCAATAGCACATAATAACATTGGAAACAACAGGCAAATTAACACGTTCAATAATGGAACTTATTCGGAATACCGCTTGAATTCAACTGGAACTTTAGACATATGGACTTGTGATAGAACTATTATAACTATTTTGGAATTAATTCACAATACTGTAGTTTCGATTTTAAATTTTCACTTTGTATTTTAGGGAAATTATTTATTTGTTGAATTTTACAAAACTTGTTGGTTTTTGCTTTTAAGTCGAGTCTAACTGAAAACAACATAGGCGCCAATTTTAAGTCACATCAGGTGTCCGCAGATCCGAGTATATGTTATTTGCTCTTGTGATGACACCCAACAAACTGCATTGACGCAAATGTGTCCGCGTATTGTGCTACGGCATATCTGGGTCTTGCTGTTTTGCAGCTGGACTCAACCTATAATCGAGTATATTCCTTACTTTGATACTTTTTGTATAACAGAGATCATTTTCACTGACGGACATGTTTTAGTCCTAACTAAAACTTAAAAATATCCAATATGCTAATCTGTGCGTGTACCCCATAAAAATTAAAAAAAATAATGAAAGGTAAAAAGTTGAATTGTACAAATCAAATTATTTTTTTTTAAAGAAATTGCTGAAATACATAACAACATCAAACGAGTACAGCAAAATATTAATGGAGCAAAAAAAGTCATTATTATTGACAACTGCTTTTCAGTTTGGAAACTTCTGATTGATAAAGTTTCGAAAAAAATAATGTTATAAATAACGATAATAATAATTATATAAATAACGTTAAAAAAAGTTTGGATAAATCGTATAAATAACGTTAATAAAAGTTTAGATATACGTTGCTTTAGATTTCAGTGTCGAGTGTACTTAGACGTCCGTGTTCGGTGTCAAAGTGTAAGGAGAAAATTCCATTTAGTTAGGAAGATTCCATTTAGTTATGAAGATAAGCAACTTAAATTCTTGACAGTCAACAAACAAAATTACGTTATTTAAAACAAAAAAAAAAAAAAAAACGCGGAAGTAATAATTACAAATAAATGATCAATTTTCATATAAATAAATTTAACCAAACTACGCAATTCGTAATGAGAGAACTTAAAAAAAAACACAATCCAAAATAGAAAAAAACAAACAAACCAAAAACTAAAACAAACAACAAAACATCAAACATCCAAGCAGATTTTAGTAGATAATCAGAAGTTTCTAAAACAAAAACCATGACTAATACAATATATTAAGTATGCTGTTTAATTCCTTGTACGATTT